GCGCCCAGCCCAGAAAAAGAATTTAAAATAATAATCTTAAGGAAACAGTGGAATTCAAGAGCATACAGTTACACAATTCAATTAAATCAAGAAAACTCATAATTTGAATGAGAAATTTAACAGAGATATAAAAAAGAACCATGCAGAAAATCTGGAACTGGAGAATTCAATGAATTAAATGAAAAATGCAATCAAGACTCTTAAAAACAGACTAGACCAAGCATAAGAAACAATTTCTGGGCCGGGCATGGTGGCTGGCACCTGTAATCCCAGCACTTTGGGAGGCCAAGATGAGTGGATCACCTGAGTTCAGGAGTTCGAGACCAGCCTGGCCAATATGGTGAAACCCCATCTCTACTAAAAATAATAAAAAAAAAAAAAATTAGCTGGGCATGGTGGCGGGCGCCTGTAATCCCAGCTACTCGGGAGTCTGTGGAGGAGAATCGCTTGAACCCGGGAGGCGGAGGTTGCAGTGAGCCGAGATCGCGCCACTGCACTCCAGTCTGGGCGACAGAGCGAGACTCCTCCAACCACATCCCAGGCCTGAGAAACAATCCCACAGGGTGCCCCTGGAAGGCATGCCCTAAGGCTGATCCAGTAACTGTACCCGCACATTTCCAGCCTGAAAAAGTCTTTCAGGCCGCCCCTGGCCAACCAAGAAGCCAGGAGTCCACAAGCCTCGGCGCGCACTTCCGCTTCCGGCCCCTTTGTCTGGAGGGGTTGTTCGCGTGGCGAGTGTCTGTCCTCCCTGTCCTCCCTAGCAGAGTCCCTCCCCGTGTCTGGACCGAGGAGGAGCAGACGCTGGACAGGGTGTGTGTGTTCAGCAGTGGATTGTCAGCCTTGGGTCCCAGCTGCTCCCCTTTGGACCTCTCCCTGGGCCCGCTGATCTGACTGATTCCTTCTACTTGGAGCTAGGACTCGGCCACCTTGACGCGCCCCCTCTGCCCCTGGAGCGTGTCTTTGGGTTTTGTGTGTGGGGGAGTGGGGTGTATGTGTGTTTCCTATCTGAGACACCTCCGGGTCGTTTGCTCGGAAACAGGATGAGGGCCCGCATAACTTGGAGCACTTGGCTGGAAGGTGAGGCAGGTCGTGTCCAAGGCTCCCGTGCCCGAGCCAGGTTAGGCACCAACGCGTCTCTTATGTCTCTGCAGCCTGCAGTGTGGTGGAACCGTTTTATAGACTGACAGTGTGAACGTGGGAGGGGATGGATATCAGAGATTCGTTTATCTAGATTTTCAGAGAAAATGCTCTGATGTGAGTGTAAGCAGGTTACTCTCTGTGTCTCGTGTTCTTTACCTGTAATTTGAGGTTTGTTTTACCTACTTTTAAGTGGTGGTTGTGAGGATTAAATGGAATTTTGACATGCAACAGTTGACACAGGGCCAGACACCAAGTAAGGGATCAATCAGTTGTCGCTTTTATTAATAGTAGGCATCCATCTCCCCATTTGTTCATAAGAAGGAAACACCCAAGAAGGAAAAGTAACTTGTAGGGCACCCAGCCAACTAGCACATAGTGGAAATTAGAATCCAGGCACTCCCAGCAGGGCACTTTCCACCACCCTGCACTTTTGTATTCAGCAGGCACAGTATCTTTACTGCTGTCTGTAACTAGCTGTCTATGTTCCCAGCGTCTGACTCTGCAGGGCCCTGGTGGTATAAAGGTACTGAGACTTGCCTGTGTTTAGGGCTTCCTGAAGATTAAATGGCTGCTGAAGTTCTTGAGTTTAACTTTGGCTCAAAAGATACTGCTTCAGACTCTGTGTTCTGAATAGAGTCTCAGAGAATGAAAAAAGAAATACAATGAAAAAGGAAAAAACTTCAATCCAGAATCTCTTGCCAGAGTTTCTGGGAGAATGCTGGCAATTCCCAGGAAGATATGTGGAGAACGGAAAGGTTGCTACACCCAAATAGTGTAGCAAAGGCTATGATTATGGAGGACTGGACCTGCAAACTCCAGAACAGAGGTAAGAAATAGAAATAAAGGGTCTTGCCATTAGCCGAGAATCTACAGTGTGCACACACAACCTCATTTTAGTTTTTCTTTACAGAAACCTTATAAAATGTATGTGGGCAGCACAGAGACCTTGGGCAAGTTAACAGTTTCTTCATCTGTAAATAGTGATTTATGGAAAGCACCTGGTGCATGGTGAGTGTGCGAAAATGGTAGTGATTTTACTAATATTCCCTTTTAATTTGAAACTCTGAAAAAACAAGATACCTTACTTCCATACTCTTTCCATTATGCCACCTGCCTCTCTGAAGAATGAGGGAGGATAAGTCAGACTCCTTGGAAGAGGAGAAAGAAATAGGTATGGAGAGGCTGATGACTTGATTTGGCATTACAGCACATGGGAGAGTCCTAGTCCCTTGAACCTTCTATGAGCTCGGGTAGAGCTGGGGCCTGCGTCCCCAGGGTCCATGGCCTTGCTGCTCATTTCTGGCAGAATTAGGGACTGCTCCTTGGCTCTCTTTCAGTTTGCTCTCAAAAAGTACTTTCTCTTAAGGAGATACAAAGGGATGTCCCAGATTAGAAGGGACTTCCATAGTCTATCTCTAGTCTGTTTGGCTCTCCTACAATATCCTGCCCTCAGGCCCTCTGATTTCTGGAAGTCCTGGAACTTAGGAGTTCCTAACTCTACCTTAGCTCCCACTGATTGCCAGTGTCCAGTACAGGGAGGGCACAGGCATCTTGTGGGGAAGTTGGATTTGGGAGTAGGACCAAACATATCGATTGTACCTTTTTTCCTTGTAAAACAAAGTATAGAAAGAAAGTGCCATAAAGTCTTGGTTAATGTTGATATGCAGAAAATATTGAGAGTAATAATTAACTGATGATTAAATGACCTTTCCTGAGTGCTTATTCTGTACCAGGTACTGGTTTGGGCCATTTATGTGCATTAACGCACATTGTAGCAGGGTAGGTACCATTATTATTATATTTTTTGAGACTGTGTCTCACTCCGTTGCCCAGGGTGGTGCAATCTTGGCTCACTGCAACCTCCGCCTCCAAGGTTCACGCCATTCTTCTACCTCAACCTCCCGAGTAGCTGGGACTACAGGCGCCCGCCACCATGCCTGGCTAATTTTTTTTGTATTTTTAGTAGAGACGGGGTTTCACCGTGTTAGCCAGGATGGTGTTGATCTCCTGACCTTGTGATCTGCCCGTCTCGGCCTCTCAAAGTGCTGGGATTACAGGCATGAGCCCCTGTGCCTGGCCATTATTCTCTTTTTTAAAATTAGGAAACGGAAGCCCAGAAGAAACTTGGCTATGGTTATACAGAGCCAGGATGTAAAGGCAGCAGGCAGGCAGACTCCGGAGCCAGAGTTCCAATGACAAAGGATTACAGGAGGCATGAATTCTACAAAATTGTGAAACCCTGTACTTGATAATAACTGAGGCCCAGAAAGAACTACTTCTTCCCCCAAACACATCCACAAGGAGCTTTAAGTACTGCTTTTTGGAGGTGGGTGGAGAGAGGATCAAAGAAATAATAAACTGTAAAATATTAGGAAAATATAGATTGATATGTAGAATAAGATAAATAGCATGTAACCCTACTACCTAGAGATAAGCTCAAAGAAGTGCTCAAAGGTAATATGATCAGCAGTTTTCTCCCTACAGGCAAAAAATCAAAATGGAGAAGTAAATTCTGAGCGGAAGGTTGCTTGTTGGGCATAGAATCAGACCGAGGGAATTTGGGGCTCATTCATTAATTCATTCACAATACTTAGGGACTACTGTCTGCCAAGTACACTGTGCTTGGTGCTTAGGACGCAGGGGTAGATGATATGACACATGCAATTTAGTGGAGCGTGTGTGGTGGAACAGACCTAAGATGGCCACAGACTCACCGTGGGCCTGGAATACTCACGATGGGGTGGCTGAAGGTGTCTGTGACCATGACTGCTGGGGTGGGCACTGCTGCCTTTTGCTGCTGTAATTCCCTTTTTCTTGTTCTATAAAATTGGCCACTTTCTCCATTTGAGAATAAAGGAGTTGAGCCTGGAGGTCTTTAAGCACCTCTCCAACTGTAACATTGCACTTCTTGTTTTAGGGTTTTTTGGTCCCAAGGAACCTCATTTTCAGAGCAGTGGCTCACGCAGATCCTGAACCCAGTTAATGGTCATACCTTTCCCTAAGTTTACGTTCCTTCTATCCTCTGAGATTATCTTTGAAGTCTCATTATATAGATGTCTGTAAAATCCTTCAAGCTATGGACAGCCAAGGTCAGAGGCACATTTTGTCATAAGTGGCTGTTTCTAAACTCACAGGTTTGAGATATGTGAAGATAAACCAGATTCCTTTATGTCGATTTCCTCCCAGTTCTGCCTTCTGAGGACCCTGCTGTTTCCCAAAAGAGGTGTCTTGAGAAGGAAAATATGGCTGCTCTTTGCCGGACAGCAGAGTCCCAGGTGAGCTGGGGATTTTCCTCTCTTCTCAGAAATGTTATTTTAATTGAGTTGGGGATTTTCCTCTCTTCTCGGAAATCTTATTTTAATTGAGTTGGGGATTTTCCTCTCTTCTTGGAAATCTTATTTTAATTCCTGAAGCAAATTTCTTTCTCTTAGCATGAAGCTTGTCAACCGCATTAGCCACAGCAGTTTGAAAGGAAAGGATCCAGTGGGTGGGATGGACTGCCAACGAGATGGCGTTCGAGTGTTCCTCAGTTGTATGGCAGCAGCAGTGAGGGTCAGGCGGCTTGGTAGCCTCGCCCATCAGTTGGCAGTGTAGAGAAAGGATGGGGGCGGCGGGGTGGGAATGAGGCCTCTTTAGCAGATAATTGAGGAGCATGACTCCTAGAACATGGTTGAGTGAGACTCAAGCTTCTTTTTGTTCACTTGAGACATTTGGCATAGATATGCGAAGGCACGTGAGGCATTTCTTTCTTCCATCTGTTTAGAATATTTTGGGGAGAAAAGATGTACACAAATCTATGTGGCACAAACCAGCAGATTTATTGTTCTTAAGGACCTTATTATTAAGGGCCCTTATTATTAAGGGCCTATTCAGTAATAAAGTGTCTTAGGGAAAATGCTTTTTGGACTTGGAGGAGCAGGAGCAAATGTGTCTGGCTGAGAGAGATTTAGGAAGGTTTTATTCATTCAACTAGCATTTTAAAGTTCTTTTAAGCAGCTCCTAGGCTAATGAAAGTAGTAAGATTTGATGTGGGCCCTGAAGGCTGAGTAGAATCTTGAAGGGTTTATAGAAAGTTAGTGACATAAATGACTTAGAATCAAAGCAAGATACTGATTCCTCTGGCACAGGAAAAAAGTCAGTACATTGAAATCACAGAGATGTTGTTCCACAAAAAATTAAAGGCTTCTTATACTCAAAGTTCTTTCCTAGATATGATTCTCAAGTTTGGCCTATTTCTATTTTTTTTTTGAGACAGAGTCTCGCTCTGTTGCCCAGGCTGGAGTGCAGTGGCGCGATCTCAGCTCACTGCAAGCTCCGCCTTCCGGGTTCATGCCCTTCTCCTGCCTCAGCCTCCCGAGTAGCTGGGACTACAGGTGCCCGCCACCATGCCTGGCTAATTTTTTTGGTATTTTTAGTAAAGATGGGGTTTCACTGTGTTAGCCAGGATGGTCTTGATCTCCTGACCTTGTGATTTGCCCGCCTTGGCTTCCCAAAGTGCTGGGATTACAGGCATGAGCCACCGCACCCTGCCAATAGTTTTCTTGTAATTGAGTTCTATATATAAAATTACTGTAAAATAAAACTATCAAATTAGGTCAAAGGGGTATACGCATTTTAAGATTTTAAGATTCTTTAATATACGAGTCAATAAAATCTTGTCTTTGACACTGTGAACATAATTTAATCTATTTCCTCTTCATCCCATTAGTCTCCCCTAATTATGCCTCATTTAACTTTTTCTTCAGAACCCCATGCAGGTGTTTCAGGGCTTTGTGTCATTCAAGGATGTGGCTGTGAACTTCACTGAGGAAGAATGGAGAGAACTGGAGCCTGCTCAGAGAGTCTTGTACAGAGATGTAATGCTGGAGAACTGTAGGAACCTGGTCTCCTTGAGTAAGCTTGGGTCCTTCCACCCCAGATTGACCTTTCAGGATACCTTTGCCTTCTAAAGATTCCCTTGCTTCTATTAGGGGATGATAACAAATGAGGCTTTGGTTATTTTCCCCCACAGAATCCAGATCAGATCCTTAAACTGTTTCTCACCCTACTTGGGTAGAAATTATTTAATTGCTTTTGACAATTAGTTATTTCATTTTCTCCTCTCTAAAATGCAACAGAGTGGGACTGAGAATAGGGTGGTCCTTTCTCTTTTGAACTTAAAATTACATTCTGTTTGTGTCTCTTAGTAGGATGTCCATTTTCCAAACCTGCTATCATCTCCCAGTTGGAAGAAGTGGTAAACCCACGAACGCACATGCAGGAGGGAGAGGTGCCAAGAAGCAGCTGTACAGGCAAGTGAGAACAAGGCAGATTGCATCTTTAGAAATAAGAGTTAGGGGTTCTTCCCAAATCCTCCAGGCCTGTAGAAGATGTTGAATCCCCCTGCAGTCTCATCTTCACTTGACCACATCAGAATCCTAATAGCTTACCCCTCTATTTCTTCCCAGACTCAAGGAAGAGATACTTCCTCCTTAAAGTTATAACACCAACACATAATCCGGAGATCACCTTTGTGCCTCATCCCGAGGCATTTTATGAGGCTATTCCCCTTTCCTCTTTAGTAGCCGGAATCACTTCTTCATTTACTCTGTCCTCATTCTACCTAGTTTTCTGCTGTCTAAGAAATACGAAGAGAAGGAAATAATTTGAATAATTCTAAGGTTATAAAATTGACATAACTTGTTGTATAGATTTGAGAGGTGAGGGAGTAACAGACAAAGAAAATTCTCAGGTTTCTGGTTTGGATGTGTAGGTGAATGGAAGTTCTCTTCCCTGAGACGGAGAACACAGGAGGTTTAGGGGGTGGAAGATGAGTTCAGTGTATCTTAAATTGTTTGAAGTGTCTATAATAAGTCTAAACCAGTGGTTCTTAACCAGGGACAAGTTTGCCCGCCAGGGGACATTTGGCCATGTCTGAAGTGTGCTATGGGCATCTCGTGGGTAGAGTTCAGGGATGCTGCTAAACATCCTACAATGCACAGGACAGGGCCCCACACAAAGACATGTCCATCTAAAATGTCAATAGTGCTGCAGTTGAGAAAACCTGCTCTAAGTGGTGATGTCTGGAGGCTAGATGAATATGAGGAGGACATGCCAAATGTATCTTAGTAAAGGAAAGAGATCTTAACTGGTGGTACAGAGTTGGGAGTTGCCTGAGAATGGACGGTAATTGAAGCCATGGGAGTGGATAATATCACCCAAAGAGCACAAAAAGAGTTACAAAAGAGCCTGGAACCCCTAATGAACACAAGCATTCAAGTATCTGCAAAAAAATAAACAAACAAATATATGTATATAGTATATAGTACGTATATTTTATAGTATATATGCAAATATATATGTGTATATATACTAAAACTATAGTTATAATTTCAGCCTTAAGGAAAGGAGGAAAAAAGAAAATTCTAAGAAAGGGGAGATGGAAAAAGCAAAATAGATTCCTCATCAACAGAAGATACAATTATATAATTTTATAATTTATATTCTATTATAAACATAATATGTATGTATATACGTATGTGTATGTACATATGTGTATATATATACACAGGGCTTCTCTCCAGTGTGGATCCTCTGATGTTGGGTAAGACGGGCAGTTCTACTGAAGGCTTTCCCACACTCCTGACCATCAAATGGTTTCTCTCCAGTATGAACCCTCTGATGCTGGGTAAGAGATGAGCTCTGGCTGAAGGCTTTCCCACAGTCTTTACAGGTGTAGGGTTTCTCTCCAGTGTGGACTTTTGTATGTTTTGTAAGAGTTGAGCTCTGACCGAAGGCTTGACCACGTTCTTTACACTTGTAGGGTTTTTCTCCAGTATGAGTTCTGTCACATAAATGTGGCAGAGCTTTCAGGTGTAGTTCAGCCCCCTCATTAGACATCAGAGACTTCAGAGTGGAGAATCTACCTGAATGTCTGGGCAAATCCACTCAGACTCTTCCTTTTGTTAAATACCAAAGAATTATACTTTCATAGGTTGTTACAGTGGCGATGCTTTTCTATTATATTTTAAGGGATGAAAATTCCCCCCTCTCCTACCTTAGTTATTGTCTCCTGCAGAGCTATCAGAATATCACAAATCCAAGTGAAGAAATACTCAACTGAAATCTGGAATATCCTAATAGACTCTAAAGCTCAATTTTTTTTTTTTTTTTTGAGGCAGAGTCTCGCTCTGCCACCCAGGCTGGAGCGCAGAGGCCCGATCTCGGCTCACTGCAAGCTCCGCCTCCCGGGTTCACGCCATTCTCCTGCCTCAGCCTCCTGAGTAGCTGGGACTGCAGGCGCCCACCACCATGCCCGGCTAATTTTTTTTATTTTTAGTAGAGACGGGGTTTCACCGTGTTAGCCAGGATGGTCTCAATCTCCTGACCTCGTGATCTGTCCGCCTTGGCCTCCCAAAGTGCTGGGATTACAGGCGTGAGCCACTGCGCCCAGCCTATTGTGTCTTCTGTTGATGAGGAATCTATTTTGCTTTTCCCATCTCCCCTTTCTTAGAATTTTGTTTCTTTTTTTTCCCCTTCCTTAAGGCTGAAATTATAACTATCACTTCTCAGAAAGTAAGAACCATTTATCTTGGAAACTGACAGCCTTACATAGTAACTATTATGCAATCCCAACACAAGAGTTAGGGAAGATTTAGTCAACACTTTTAGAAAACGTTTTAGAAAAAAATAGTCATATGAATTTGTATCAGACTGTCACCAGATTAAGTTACCTGAGGCTGCCTGATGAAAATTCCTGTATATGGCTCTAAGAAATGTTATGTGTACCTAATAAAGCCAGGCATTATTTTTTGGTTACACTGTGGCTCAACACATACATGCAAACTTTTTTTTTTTCTTTCAAATCTTCCTAAGCTTAAACTGATGTTAGAGTCACTTTTTAGGTTTCCATGAATTATTTTCCCTGCCTTTTTTTTTTTTCTTTTCCTGTTTTAGGTGCATTTCAGTTACCTGAGGGTAATCCAGTTGTATAGGATTGGAGTCCCTTGACTTTCCCGTATCATTCCCAATGTACTAGCCACAACCTGAGATTTCCGTGCTTTCTATTTTTCTCACTATAAGGGCTATTCTAAACTCTCTCGCCTCACCTGCTTTCCTATCCTTCTCTTCTATTTAAAGAAGTCCGTGTTAGTACAGCTTGAAATTCAACAGGGCTTGAATTACAGAAGGCACAACTGAATTTAGAGAAGAAAAGATTTTTGTTCTGAAAATTAGCATTGAGACAGACCACTCTGAATAAATGGTAATATCTGGAAATAATTTTTGAAATGCCCAAAATCCTTAGTAATTTTAAGAAATTGAAAGGGGGTGGAGAGGATCATCTATAAGAGTGTCTGCATCAGAATAGGACTTCTTAAAGTAATGTTTGTTAACAATTTCGGTAACAAGGTCATTTCCAAACATTGTTCCTGGCGCCAGTTAGCTTTGGATTGGTGGAAATCATTGTTGTTCCTTCAGAGGCCTCATCTGTGGTAATTTGTTTTAGAACTAAAAACTCAATACAGATGTCCTTGAACTAAAGGTCTGTCCTAGAATGGGTGGAATGCATGAATTCGTGGATTGTACTATAGTGAATTTGTATAATTCTCTTGTAGTCTAAATATAATTTGGATCCAGAAATATTAAAATTTCGAGGACATCATAGTGACAAAATATTTGAAATCAGAACAGTTCTAGAAATGTTACGACTGGGACTGGGACTTACAGAGCCTTTTTGGTTTTGTTTCAGTTTACTCTGACTGTACTGTTAGTAGTGTGGTCTGTGCTTCTACTCTCCTCTCGGATTTATTTGTTTGTTTGTTTGTTTGTTTGTTTGAAACAGGGTTTTGCTCTATTGCCTGGGCTGGAGTGCAGTGGCGCCATCACAGCTCACGGCAACCTTGAGCTCCCAGGATCCTTGATCCTCCCACTTCAGCCTCCTAAGTAGCTGGGACCACAGGCAGACGTCACCACGCCTGACTGATTTGTTTGTATTTTTTGTAGATGGCATTTGCCATATTGCCCAGACTGGTCTTGAACTCTTGAGCTCAAGAAGTCTGCCCACCTTGGCCTCCTGAAGTGCTGGCATTACTGGCATGAGCCGCCATGCCCAGCATTTGGATATTTCTATAACAGGATTCTCTCTCGTGTGCTGTAGTGTAGACCACACTTACCCTTCATGATGGAGAATATAATTCCTCTCCTTTTATAACCAAGCTAAAGCTCTGTGTGTTTGTTTGGTTATGGTAAAGTCTGGGGCAGGGTTTTGATTTGGAGCTTTAGATAGTACACGTTCTGATATTTTGATCTCTTTTTGGTAGGTAATCTGGATTCTTTAGTTTTTAAATCATGAGTGTCTAATTTTATAATTTATATGTTAAAATTGCCTGTATGCTTGGCTGATACGTGTCCAGTGAAGGGAAAATTAATTTACATGTTAAATTAATTCCTCCAAGCAGATTATCCTGAATAATTTGCACTGTTGTGATAAACTAACTAGGGTGACCCCAGGCTTGATTTGAGGATTGCAGGAAGAGATATTTAGTGATTAAAGCAGGGCTTTCTGTCTTTTTGGAGGAGGCATTAATACTTGTTAGGTTTTCTTTAAGTTAAGAGCCAGTTGTCACTTTATCACTCTTTTCAGTTTGCAAGTTAGTCTCCTTTAGGACCCAGCTTAAGGTATCACCTCCAC